GAAAAGGCGGCCTTCAGGCCTAAATCCCGAGAATACCGCCAAACGGCGCAGCCCACCAATGATTAGGGTTCAGTAACCTAATCAGGGGCACAATTCCCAAAGACCCTATAAATAGGGAGATGTCCCTCATTTTGAGGACACGTTTTGACCATTTATTACACATTTTACTCTTTGATAGAGACATCCTGAGCTTGGAATCCGAGTGGATCCCCACCTAAATTTCCGCACCTTTTTCTCCCTTCAAGTTTCTAACTTGTGCGTCGGAGGCGGAGCACCATCCAACTGGTGTCTCCGTTTGTTTTGCAGGTACAGCTCACCCCGGATCAGTCTTCGTGTTGTAACTCTCCCGAGGGACAAAAACACCCAATACAGAAGTGGTGAATCTTTAAACACTTAAATTATAAAGGAGAGGAAGATCTAAGGATGGGAAAAACCGAGAATAATTTATTTGGATTGGAGGTTTCAACTTTCAAGAGTTTAGAGCTGAAGAGAGAGAGGAGGAGGAGGAGAGAGCCTAATCGGCTGATTGTGTGAGGAGGAGGCATTAAGGATTTTAGGGTTTTAGATACTAGTTACATATTTGGGCTTGGGCTGAATTTTAATCCATCAGGTTTTTTTTTTTTTTTTTTTTTTTTTTTTTTTTTTTTTTATACCGTATAATGTTCGAGTTTATCAGGTCGGGTTCGGGTTGACCCGACTTGATTTTGACCTGAAATTTATTTCGGGTTAAGTGGGTCGTTTTCGGGTTGAGATTTTCAACCTTAACCTAACCCATTTAATTTCGGGTTCGGGTTCGTGTCGACCCATTTAAGTTTTCGGGTCGAAAAACTCAACCCTAACCCACTTTTTTCGGGTCGGGTTCGGGTCGGGTTTTCGAGTCGGGTCAGTTTTTGCCAGCCCTATCTAAAATATTAGTGATCACTTTAATTAATAACAAGATTAAAAAGGAACCTAAACCGGTTGTCCAAATTATCTTATTAGGCGTGATTTTCAATTACATATTCCCTTTAAACATGCAATATAGTGATCAATAAATAAGCATTAATATTGGAAGCAATTTAACAATAATAGCGTTGGTCAAATCAAATAATAATAATAACCCTAATCATGATACTAGCAATATTAAAATAAAATAAGAGTAATAAAATTAATTAATTACTCACATTCCGCGCGTTCCTTTAAATTGCTACATCATGAATAAACTGCTAGTAAGTTCAATAAAAATATAAATCAAATGAAAATTAAATTAAAGTAGAGTTGATTTGGTCCAAACCCTCAGTCAATTATACCTTTCACGCCTTGTTTTAAGTATAGAACTTCAGGTATTGTATGGACTCCTTGGAGTGCTTAGGGGAAGTATTATGAGAGAATAGGATGGCTAGTGTTTAGGCCAAAGAGGGAGAAGAGAATTATTTTATGATCAAGTTTGTTGATGATTAGAAAAGGGGTGATATGACCTCTATTTATAGAGAAAAAAGAGAGGTCGAAAAAACAAGATAAGATCTGAATTAAATCGGAATAAAACTCGATAGACAGCAGTTTTTGCAGTTTTTGTTTTTATCATATCTTTTGATCCAGAAATCGAAATAAGATGAATAAGATATCGTTGGAAAGATCTTGAAGTATACTTTCTAACCCAATTATAATCAGATTAAAATATTTTATAAAATAAAAGATATGACGGAAATAGTGAGATGGTGTCAGTTTTGGATTGAGTTTGACATTTTATTCATATCTTTTCCGTTATAGCTCGGAATTGATATTATAATATATCATTGGAAATATAATTTCAAGGGCTATCCAACCATATAAAATTTGGATAAAAAAATATGAGGCACGAAAATAATATCTGTCTATCTTTGAACGTCTTTCAATTCGGATAAAAATAGGACTTTCAAAAAAAGGAGTTTTATTCAATTTCAAACTCTTTAATCTTATCTTTTAAAAAAGGATAATTAAGATCTTTTAGAAACTTATAGAAGCTTCTAATTAATCCTAATTGGTTTAGGATTGGGATTAAATCATTTAGACCCTCCACATGATCATTGGGTCGTAGGTAAGGTGGGCTTAGGTTCGGTTTGGGCTCGGTTTAATATTTTGGCCATAACTTATTCGTTATAACTCGGATTTGGGCTTATAATATATTGTTGGAAAACTCTTTTCAAACCCCATCCAACTTTTAATCATTGGACCCAGATTATGGACCAAAATAAATTGGATTAAACGTTTTTATAAAAATGACACGAAATGAATGATTTTAAAGGACACGAAATGAATTATTTTGGGTTTAAAGGCACGAAAAGAGGAAAATAAGTTATTTTTGTGGAAATGGGCTAGGAATTGGGTTGGTTTATGAAATGAAAATATGGATTTAAGCACTTCAAAGATTAAATACTCAACCCGACCAATAATGACGGTGAAAGATTGTTCATCATCGGGTTTGGTTTTGGGGAGACATTTTTAGGTGTCTACAACCCCTAATTTACTTCCCTCATTAACTGCTAAACACCCACCCACTACCTAACATCATTTATTACTATTACTAATCTTTCCCTCCCTTTTATTAACAGACATACTTTATTTTCTAGGATTCCTTTTATTTTCTGGATTGTTTTCATATTTTCTTTGAGTTTCACATGAACATTGAAGAACCCTAGTTTCATTATCCCATTTTCTCTCTCATCCAAAATTTCAGATCTTGCCCGATTTTCCCTCAATTTCGTCAATTCTTCATAAATTCTGGACATTTGGCCCATTGGCTTCATCCTGGACCAAGGGAAGATGTACTATCGTGCATTCGTGCGTAGGAAACCGATCGTAGGGCTCGAAATGTTGCCGTGCCGGGCTGCAAGGTCTTCCTAATTTAAAGTATTGGGTATGTTCTAGCTCGAATTAGGATGCAACCAGTTGATTTTTGATTTTTTTTTTCTTTATATTTCGATTTGCATGCATTAGAATTGGAATCGGAAATTATATTATACACTAATTTGGGGGTAATTGATTTTGATCTACCATCTGAAAGAATCAAGTTCATTTTGATAAGCTGATTAGACATGCATTTTGTTCAATTTGGATGTCATTTGATGTTGACTATGGAAAAATCAGTAGTACTCTGAACAAATATTGTTAGGTAGTATGCTTATGATATTATAAGCATTGTAATAGTATTGCTTCTTCCAAGGTACTAATTTGGGATATAAATAATTGATGTATGCCTTTTTTTAATGGATAATGGGGAAAATAAATTGAAGTTCTATGATTACTCTGACAAGTGTGAATGTGTGATTAAATAAATACTTAGTGGATAGTGAGTAGGAATCTGGAATCCTAATGATAAAAGATTAGTTGTATCTTTTTAGATACTACCATTAATTTAGTCTTGGTATCATGATATTAGACATGATTAAATAACCCCTTGTTCATTTCGATCTGATCAAGTGTGGAGTCATAGGCTATATTGGATTTTAGCAATTACAAATTTATTAAAATATTATAGGTTTATGACTTTCCTTTTTAATTGTTTAGCTGTATGTTCTCTCTTGGTTTATTAATCAGTGATTGTTATTGTTATGAGTTGAATACTTTGTTTTATTTAAATTTACTAGGTGGTGTTTAAAAGTGGTTTTTGTCTCTTGTTTAATAGTGTAGATTCAGGACTTCTACGTGAAGCAGTGCTAAAAATGAGTAGGAAACGCAACGTCACAGGTAATTTGTGTCTTAATCATCATCATGAGGAGGATGACGACTACAAAGCAACAGGTCACAAAAAAAAGTTGTGGTCTTGTTAAGGAAAATCTCATTCCTAATTCAAAGCCACTCATCCTTCCTCCATATGCCCCTTCATGGGAAAGACGAGCAATTAGGATTACCAATGACACTGGCAGTTTCAAAGACATTCATGGCACTATGTACTATGAGTATGAAGATATCCCTCCATATGATCCTTCTGCGTGGGAAAGACAAGCCACGAGAAAATGCAATGTCACAAGTATTTTCAAAGATATTCATGGTAATATATACCGTGAGTATGAAGATCTACATCACCCTGATGTGGAATGGGAACAGAATCAACAAAGGCTTAAACGGGAAACATGTGGGTCTCAGGCATATGATAGTGTGGAAGACTACAAAACACTAGGTGACAAAGAAATGTGTAGTCCAAAAAAAGAAAATTCTTGGTCAAATGATGACTCCTAGTTCATCCCTAACTCAATGCCACAAGACCTTCCTCCATATGATCCTCTTTCATGGGAAAGGCATGAACCATGTTTCCACTCCCCTAAGATTGAAAACACATGGCACAATGTGAGTGAAGCTCCGGATACCCCAGAGGAAATCTGGAGAACTAATGTTCTCACTCCATGTAAACTTCATATCGGGAATTTGGTATCTCTTGATGTAAGATTACAGCAAAGGGATTCACCAGGTAAATTATTAACATCTGCAGCATATAAATTTGTGTACATATGTTCCTTTATTAGATTTCAAGCTGCTAATTTATGTTTTCAAATGTTGTTCTTTGTTGCAAGCAAAGTAGGATCTGCTGCATATACTGAAAAGGGTGAAATCCTTCCATTGAAGAACGATTTCATGCATAAGATGGATTATGACTCTGACGAGACTCAACCTTGAAGAACATGGATTGGTATGTCCTATCTCTTTGGTTAGATTTGCATGAAAAAATAAAGTATAAAGGCTATAGTAGGATATGCTTGTAATAAAGATGTAAACTATAGTCATGCATGCAATTACAATTTTCTTACACAAAATATTGTGTCCCCATAGGGCCATAGATTTCAAGTGCATGTTTACAAAAACTTCTACTTTTCACCATTACAATTCACAACTACGTTCTTAATTAACTGAGTTTTTACAAAAAAAAAAAAATCTACTTTTGCCCACCACTTCACATCTCATAAGTTGGACCTTTACATCGATACAAAAAGTTGTTTTCTTATGAAATTTTCAAAAGGGACTTCCTTGTTTGCATTAATGATCTTTCACAACATGTTGGCATTTGATGATTCACCCCTTTCTATGATTCCTTCGTTCAAAAAATTGATCGAATCTAGGACCAACTCATTTGACACTTCAACATAGGATGGTAATAGACCCAACCTTTGAAGTCTTTTCTTGCCCTTATGAGGATTTTTGAAATTGTTGCCTCCCTTGACTTTCATAATTTCCTCCATTACATACATTGAGTGAAGCCAAGTCATGTTAATGATCCTTGGATCATAACTAGCATATGAGGTTAGAACACTTTCAACCAACTCTTCAACTGATTCAGGAAACTCTTGGTGTTGAATTGCTTGAATTGCCCTAAAAAACCCCAAGTCCAATACATTGAGGTCCGGAGATTGAGCAGGCTGGCAGATTAGGTGCATGTCAAAACCATCCTTATTTGCTTCTTCCAAAAATTCTGGATCATCAATGTTGATGTGAGGCCTTGCATTATCTTGCTGGATCCATATAGTCTTGCATGAGTTTTCTGGCCATGTAGCTCTAATTGCAGGCATCACTTCTTCTAATATCATTTTCTTGATGATATCCCTTGTGATGGTTTGTTTTGCTTTCGTTTCTATAGTGCCCTTTTCTCTGTTTTTGCTACTTCTTTGTGCTGGCACTTGTTCAGTGAATGGAAACATCCCTGTTTTCCCATCCCAATTTATGTATCCATTTGAAGCAATGTGTGGTCTGGCCGATGTGTCCATGAACATGACTTTTTGCACGTGAGTCCTACTTTAAACAGCTCTGTATGGATCTTGTTCTTCTGATAGCAGGTAAAATCTTTGTGTTATCCTACTCATGAAAAACCATTTTTCGTCGATGTGGACCATGTTGTACATCATCTTAAACCTTGGTAATGTGTGAATAGTTCCTGGTATAACTCTAGATACAACAAACTGTAATCTTGCTGTTCTATGTTTGTCTGTTAACTTTGGTTTGATTGAGTTTGTGTGTGATCTTAGAATCCCCCTCTTAAGTAGCCTATAAACTGTAGATGGGCTAACACCAAGTGCGGCTGCAAAAGATCTTAGTGTTGTTCTCTGTTTAAGTGGAATAGAGCATAGAATTTCCTCATCGGTAAGCAAAGGCTTCCTGCCACAATTTTTCTTTGCATGATTAACACAAATGTCTTGGCCTTCTGTTTTTTGTTTTTTAGCTTTCGACCAAATCCTATGGATTGTTGTCCTATTAACACCATATTTAATACCTAAGTGCTTCATTAATCCCCTTGGTACATTCAAGTTTGTTGTTTCTGCAAACAGTTCCATAACTAATTGTTGCCTAAATTCATTGTTCATCATTGGTCTTTTATTCCCTAAAATGTGTCCAGAATTTGGGTATGGGATCTGGTTGTCAATGTTTACAAAAGATGGAACATTTAACTCAATGCATGCATCATTATAAGCTTTAAACTCATAATGCTCATCATCAGACAAATACCATACCTCATCATCTGGCACATCTTCATCATCATCATCAATTTCAGCATTTATGGCATCTTCCATTTGAAGCATTTATTCGACAGTGACGATGTTAATATTATTGTTGTTCTCAGGGGTGTTGGAGTCATTGCCAAAGTGATTGTTGACTACACCTTCAAGATCAAGAAGCTCTTCCATTGTAATATCCGGAAAATCGTCAAAGCCTTCACAAACCAAGTAGCTTCCAAATGAATTAGCCATGGAATAAATATGCAGTGGAGAAAAAATTAACAGAAAGTGTTTTGTGTTCAAGTGTAATTTAAGAGAAATTAGAAAGCTTCTTTTATCTAAGAGAAAGTAAATTCAAAAGTGGAAAAAAATGGAACATTGGAATTGTGTTTAAGTTTTTTAAATATGCTGTAACTTTGATAAAGTTTGTCAACTTCTTAAAATTTGGTGGGGTTGGCGGGATATTTAAATTTTTAGAGCTTCCACCAAAATTTTGGGCTTTTTAATCAATTGTAAAAGCCTTACGTGGGAAGCACTCAGATTTAATTACACTTTGATTAAAGTCATTATTATTACTTGGGGAACATGTGCACATATTGTTGGCTTGTTTTCTTAATAACTGTGCTCAATGGTGTGTTGCAAGTAAAAGAAAACGGAGGAAGTAATAACATTTTTTTTTTGGAATAAAAAATAATAGCAATTTCTACTATTTATCGAGAATAATAATAACAAATAGTTAATAAATTTTTTTAGGGAATAGTAATACTTAATATATTTTTTTGAAAGAAATACTTAATATTTTATAATAATACTAAATATATAATTTCATTAATAATAATAACCAATGATATAAAAAGAATAAAAAAACTGCAAAAAAATTGTGTGCTTTTAAATATGTGATAACAACGAAGATCAAAGCGACAATGAAGATGATAACAACGAAGATCAAAGCGACAATGAAGATGATGAAAATGATGATCATATGGTAGTAAATGGTTAATTCATCACAATGTTGAACTCGTCTTATCATGTTCCTATTTTGGCATGCGGTTGTAATAATTTGAACATGTTATACTATTGTCTTTTATCAATCTACTATTAACATATGTTAAATATGGCACACATTTATTTATGTTTTCACTCACCTAAATAAATGGTATATGCAATAATAGTAATATTTATAATAATAATAAGGCAAAAGCTAATGAGCGCCCCCGGGACGTTGGATAAGATAATTAAAATGCAAATATTAGAGTAAAATTAACATTAATTATACCGAACGACGCGTGATTTTGTCATAAATTCCTAACTTAATACCATTTCAACCAATATAATTTATCCTTATCTAACGCCCCGGGACGCTCGTTAGCAAAATCGTAAAAATAGTAATAATAATAACAATAACATTAATAATAATAATAATAAAATTAATAACAATAATAATAATAATAATAATAATAATAATATTAATAATGATAACATTAATTATAGTATTAATAATAATGCCGAAATCTGTTACGCTATGCTACAAAAGAAGGGTTGATTTTCCTCAAAAAAAAATAAAAAAATGACATTCCTACCCTCGATATTGGGCAGGACTCACCACCACCACTCCACCAGGTTAATCACTCCTCCTAAACTCACCACGTTTTGCAAATAAAAAGCTGTATTTTATGACACCAGAAGTTAAAGCTGTGGCGTGTTACCCAGAAAACTCTTTCTGCTATTTTCATTTTTTTCTTTCGCCTTCACTTTTACATTGCTCCTCTCTCTCCTCCACTGAAGCATATTCCGAGTTTTCCATTGAAGCATTTTCCTAGTTCTCTCTTCCATGAAACGGCTACTGAGCTTTCTCCCCTCCGATGCAGCAGCTTCTAAGTTAAGATTATTTTTTAATTTCTTTTATCATCGAATATTAATTTCACAGTCTAGGGTATTGCGTTACAATTGTGTTAATTAAATTATTCAAATTAGGGTTTTTCTAATGTGGATTATTGAACTATTGGTTATAATTACTGAAGTTATGAATGATTATAATGAGTAATTTTTGTTCTAGATATTTGCTGTGTGAATTAACTTTAATATTCTTAAGCGAAAATAATTTATGTGATTTATGGAGCTTAATTTGTTGATTGAGGAGAATGTGGATTACTGAACTATTGGTTATAATTGCTGAAGTTTTGAAGTATCATAAGTTTATAACGAGCGGTTCTGTTGCTAAATTTGATAATTAGGTTGTAAAGTTTATTTATTTATTTATTTTTTGTGATTTTTCAAGCCGAATTTAATAATTGAGACAAATGTGTGTAGGTTTTTGTTAGGAGGGAACTATAAAAATGGACCTTTTCTCCCTGGGCCGAGGGCGGCTGCCCCTCTTGCCCTGGCTCAGGGACGGGCCTGGTATAGCGTTGACGATGACAAGTCTAAGAGAACTGATGAAGTGTTGGAAGATAGAGATCCAAGCTATGAAGCAATGCTCAATAAAATGGTTGGAAAAATCAGTTCTAAGCCTGGTGGCAAGCTTGAAATGGGCGAGGTTGGGCTTTGATAAATTTTTCTTTTATCTTTCTACATGTTTAGTTGCTTATATGCTGGACTTGTGATCTTTGTGTTCTATAGTTGTTATTTACAAAGGTAAAGATTAAAGGAATTATTTGTGAACTATCCTTGTTGAACGATTAAAGTATTGGTTTGAAATGTAGTGTAGAATGTATGTGGGGCTTTTCCTAAGAACATAGTTCAATTTTCCTCCTTCTGCGACCGATGCTATGTCTAAAGACTGAATTTGGGAAGCCATTGGGGTGCTTTTAGACTATGTTACTTGGACTCAGGTACTCATTGACACAGGTATATTTCCAAGTGTCTGACTTTGCTGTTTTTGAAAAAATATTCCGTGAGTTGAGACTTTGTTAGAGAGTTGTTTTCTAAAGCAGAATGTATACGGGGCTATCCTAAGATCATAGTTCAATTTGCCTCCTCCAGGATTAATATTGTGTCTAAAGACTGAATTTGGGAAGCCATTGAACTTGAGTTGAAATGAAATTTCAAGTAACATAGCTTTTAGATTAATGCGATAAAGCTAAATCGCACCTTTGCAAGTTTGTGGATGATAGAATGACATTATTTCTTTTTTTGATTAGTTTAGTTGATGGAAGCTAATATCAATATTTGTAATGGATTTATGTATAAACTGCTAGAATTGGTGAGTACTAAATTTATGGTGATGCAACTTTGCGCTTAAGTGATTTGTTATATTCCATAACTTCAATATCCCCTCATCAACTTCTTTTGATTAGTTATGAGAATATGAGATGCTATGAAAATTTATGGAAACACAAACTTTGGGGTAGAGTTGCATTACCCTAGATATATTAATATATTATTCACGTTTACATACTAAATTAATTAATTATTTATATATTACCCTAGATATATTAATATTACCCTAGATATATTAATATATTATTCACGTTTACAAAAGCTAGTCAAAGCAAATTGTTAAACATCAAATATGTCAATCAAAAAAGAACGGAGGAAGTATTCCTTTAAATAGTCATATCATGGTAAGTGTGGTCATATTATGTCAGAAGTAGTAAGTACTATTCTTAAACTAAATAATGTACAATCAAGGTTAAAATTCAATAGTGTGAATGTATGAATTTGCTTTGTTTTGCAAAACAGCCTGAGCTGTGTGATTGCATCCCCTTATTTATAGTCTGTGCATCATTGCTTCGATCATGCATGCTATTGTACTAAAGCCTAACAAATTGTTAAAATGAGGTAATGTTTCTCAGTCTTTCTATGGAAACCCTCCTTTTAAGAAGAGGACTGTATCAGGATGAATGAAAGCATGAAGTCTAAAGGATAAGGAGAAGGAATGAATATTGTTGCATATATTTGCATCTACATTCCATATACAATAGATATTTTAAGCCAGGGGAGTGTTTTGAGGAAGTTATAGTTAAAAAATTGAAACATTGAGGATGTTTTCCTAGGGGTTTTGTGAAGGGGCCAATAAGAGGTATCAACACTAACATGATACAACCATGTCACATATTCATCAAAACTGCACGACTAATAAGCCACTTACATGTTGATGAACTTTTAGCCAAGGGGCTAATTAAAGGACTTCCAACTTCATTTTTCCCTTTATAGTCTTACTATAGCTGATTACTAGACCAACAAATAGCATTAGTTAAATTTGAGATTTGCTGACTAGCTAATGAGTTATTTTATGTAGAATTACTTTTCAAGATTGCCAGGATTGGCTACTTTTGTAGTAAAATCAGAAAAATAGATATATGGAGAATGCCTTTTGAAACATAAGATAGTGCATAATACTTATTGATTATGCCTTTAGGGGCTTTTGGTTGGACAAATTGGATTGGGGTGGAAATGTAGAATGGACTTTTGGAGTTAAAATCCATTCCATTCTTTGGTACTGCACTTTTGTCATGGAACCTCATACTAGGGAGATTCCAACTCTACCTTATCGCCTTAGAATTCCATACCCACGTCAGTACATAAGATTCACATTCCTTTTTAATATAGATACAAACCCTAATAACCCCCACAAAAGTGGAGACAAAAGTTGCAAAGGAACGACTACCACCTATATACGGTGGGTTGGCAACCCATCACAGGTTAAAGAAGTTTCTGTCTTCTCCAGTTTAGTAGTCAATCAGCTAGAGCATAATTGCCTTGTAAAAGTTTGGACTTCACGAGGATTTGTTTGTAAATGAGGTTCTTTCATTAACTGAATATTTTGTAGGTTACATAGTTTTAGTTGAATAACTATGGTGTGAAGACATTGTAATTGTAATTTTGCTTTTGTTTAATGTTCTGGAATTGTTTTTGGTTTAGGTTTGGTATTGTTTTGTTTAGTTTCTTTGGCTTTTTTTTTTTTCCTTATTTTGTTTCGCTTTTGAGCCTTCATTTTGTAGACTAAAAACTAGTATTCATTCCGTGCGATTATTTTTATCTATAATTTTTTTTAATGGAAGGATTGATCAAGTTATGTATGCCTTAAGAAGTGAAAATAGAGGGGGGGGGGTAATTTAATAACAAATATATGTATGAAAAATTATCCTAGCAAAAAATTGGATTGAAACTCTTGAACAACATTGAAAGCTAGCCATGCTACTGCCCTTCGTAGTTTTCAAAATATCAGTCAATTCAACATTTGATATGCCAATTTCATGAAGCAAAATAGGAAATCAACATTTTGGAAGATCTTGGATTTAAATTTAATTAGCGACTAAACTATTTGACTAAGATGCAAAATGAGGAAAAACCGAAAAAAAAAGATCTACTTTGTTTAATGAAATTTAATGGTAGAATGCCCCAAAAAAGTGCATTACAAATTGATTTACAGTAAATATACTTAGATTGAGAAGGAACCGAAAGATGCAAACTAAAAACTTTTAAAAAAAAAAAAATTATAAAAAAGAAGAATGATCACACGTACAATATTAATATTGAATTTGACACATGATTATAATTTTGATAAATTATTCCCAAAAAAAATAAATAAAAAAAAATACCTTGATGGTTGTGAATATATTTCAACAAATAATATCAATTCAAACCAAAAACTTCACAAGTTGACATAAACCTAGAATGAATAAGCAAAAATAAGTTAAAAAATATGTAAAAAATCATGAATTGCACTGTACCTTTTTTGCTAACTTTGTTTGTAAAAAGAAAAGTATCTATTATTAAAGTAGTAATAATTAGTGCTTTAGTTATTAAAAATTGGGGATGAATAAAAATGATTTGGGGTAGAAAGAAGGGAAGAGTGATTACATTCATAATTGAAATTTAATTAGGGAGGAAAGTAAAATGCATTTTGATTTGAATAGTTAATGAAAATGGGAGTTTGATTAAAAAAATATAAAATAATAAACTAAAGCAACCCTTCATGAAAAGAAATTAAATAAAAAACAAATGCAACCCTTCAAGCAATCAAGTATAAATTTACCGAAAACTAATAAGTATATGAAGTGTTGTTTGGGGAATAAATTGAACATTTAAGGTTTTTTTCTTTTTTTATTTTAAAAAAAAAAACTTAAATTATTTATTATTTTACAAAAAAATAAAAAAAAAATAAAAAAGAAAACATGGAAAATAAAAAAGGACACGTGGACACTTTAAATTTCCTTTAATTTTTCCTGTTTTAAAATAACAGTATAGATATGTGAAGTATTTAATAAAAAATGAATAAAATTGGGCTTACATATTTTCTAAAAAAAAGGAAAAATGGATAAGAAAAATCCAACCTTTGTACTTTTTTCTCCTAAAAATCCAATCTTCATTTTATTCCTCAAAAACCCAACCTTTATACCCCATCTTCTCCAACAGATCCATTTGACTTTTGACTTTTAACCTGTTAAATAGGTTTAATTTTTTTTTTTCTCCTCTTAATTTCCTTTCTCACTCCTCTCTCCTAAAAAATGGAAACAACCTAACAATCCACCAATGACACCACCAGCACACCACCAACACCAACACCGGTTAACCACCATACCACCAGAACTTCTTCCTCCTCCCCCATTAATCCACAACCCCAGGAAGAAAGAGGAGGAAGATCATGCTTCTAGAAGATTAAGAGACCTTCAATCACAAATAGGGAACAAAACTTGTGTTGATTGTTCCCATAAAAACCCATAATTGGCATTTGTTTCTTATGGGATTTTCATGTGTTTGGAGTGTTCACGGAAGCAATAGCATCAAGGTATTGGTGTAAGATCTCTTAATCTTCTAGAAGCACATGCCATTAATGATGATCTTCCTCCTCCTTCTTCCTAGGGTTGTGGATTAATGGGGGGAGGAGGAAGAAGAAAGGAGGTGTTTAGGAAATTTGGGTGAAACAAAGCAGGAGAAAGAGAAGAGGAGAGAGACTGGTGTTGGTGGTGTACTGGCGGTGTTCTGTCAGATTTGTCACCATGGATTTTCATGTTCTTACAACACCACCACCCTAAACAACTCGCACCAACACCACCACCCGTAACCACCGAAAACCAACCTCAACCAACTTGGAGGTTTTCTGGTAAGACTTTCAATGGAGATGGTCGTTGCCGGCGATTGGGAGACGATTGGGCGTAGACAGGGAAGCTGTGTCGTGCGTCGACAATGAAGGGGAAGGGGAAAAAAGGTGGCTGACGGGTGGAGATGGTGGTGTTTGTCTAGTTTTCTGAATTTTTTTTTGGTTTTTGTTTTTGTAAAATTTTCTCTTTTAATTAAATCTGTTTTTAATAATTAAAAAATTAATTGCCCTATTAATAGCTAACACATGGCATATGACTTAAAAAAAAAAACCGGTCATCAAGAAGGTGGAGTATAAAGGTTGGATTTTTGAGGAATAAAATGAAGGTTGGATTTTTAAGGAGAAAAAAGTGCAAAGGTTGAATTTTTTCTTTTCTATTTTTCCAAAAAAAATAAATAAGGGGATGGCATTAAATTTCACATTATGGGGTTTCAAATCCATACCCTATTGGTATGATTTCCATTATTTTAGCCTATTATACAATTTAATGTTTTCCCTACGCTTGAAAGTTGTCACATTGGTTATACTAGCTTGATAATAGAAGAAAAGAGTAATGTAATCTATACTTCCACCTATTAAAAAGAAATCTAATTTCTCCTTTCACACTTGTAAAGATTTAATACCCAATTATCCTTGCTACATTTTGTAACTTTTTCTTAAGTTTTGTTTGTAATTAACGTGGTTTTTTTGGTCCAATCACACTCTTTCCTGCTTTCTTAATACTTGTGAATCCTTGAGGAAGTATGAAATTGCACTATAACAATCAATGCTTTTATGGTATGCCGCAAATGACATGTTCTCCACATTGCCCGACTTAGCTAGTGATCATGGCTCTTCAGTGTACCAAATTAGTTCCAATACCACAAGGCTAACTAATCAAGGATTTACCTTTGACATGGTAGAATTTTCGTAATACATTAATTACATCTGGTTTATTGTGACTCTAGCCTGTAGAGTATATCAGGTATATGACTGAAGCAAAAGTAGGCTAACTGTGCCAGCAACAAGCTAGAGTAGATTGCAATGTGTGAACTTTCTGCATACCTTTCTCATTTTAGTGTAGATGTTTTGGGCACATGACTAGGTTGACTTGCCAAAGGAAAAATGGAAATGGCATTGAAATTTTATGTACCTTGTCAGATTTTTCTTTTCGTGAATTGCAAAACTAGTTCTGGACTTTGGGTGATTGATGATATAAATTATATTTATTAATTACCGAGTATTGTAGAACACCCAAGGGAACAGAAAAAAATTCTTTATTTTCTTTTGAGAATGCTTTTGTTGCCTATTTTCCTTCTTTGTGCTTGTTGGGGAGGAGGGTTTGCTAGTGTTATCCTTTTTAAGTGATTGGGATGATCCTGATGACTTAAAAGCTCTCAGTTTATCTTGATCAACCCACTTGGTGTTGCTTCCTGAAAGAACTGTTTTTAGTTGATGTTACTTTACATAAAGCATGTCTGCTCATATGGTGCAGGCTCATGTGGTACAGAAGCCTAAAAGACCCTTGCCAAAAGTAAGAAATACGACTCCTGAGACTGGACGTTATGAGGAAAGGCCTGTTGCTGCAGGGACATTAAATGTAGCTCAATTTCGCCACATAATGCGTCTTCATCAAGGCACGGCTGATGAGCATGATGGGCCTCTAGGTCTAAAAGAGGTTGCTGAGAGATTTCAGGTGGATGCTGTACAACTTGAAAAGATATTCCAGTATGTATCCTTGCCACCTGAGGATAATACTAACAGGAAAAAACACGAGCTTGGAGACTGATTTCCCTTTCCTAGTGGTACTAGTAGTTCAGAATGACTGATTGCTTTTTGATACAATCAGTTCAAAAGTGTATTTGCGAAATATATATTTATATGAATGATGAATCAGAATAGTGATGAAAAGTTAAGTTAATAGCACTACAAGGTACTGAACTTCGGTGATAGTAGCAATTAAGGTACTGAAGTTTTATTCCTTGCAAATAAGGTATTTAGCTGGTGACCGAAGGTAACATTTTCGGCCATTACACGTAACCGGTTATACGTAATTTTCTTACAAAAAATTAATTTATTATTTATTTTTTTTTATTTTTTTATTTTTTCATTTTTTTCTTTTCCCCTTCCCTTAAACTTTCACTTTCTTGGATAATTGTAATTCTTTGTTCTCTCTCTTCAAACCTAGCCTCCATAGTAAGACTTAGGGGTTATCATTGATGGTAAGTTCCAAATTTTTCTTCAATTTAATGTTTTTAGTCAATAAAGATCACCAATACTATCGTGATTATAGTCCAGTCACTTCTTGTAGGGTTTAGTCGATTCCCTAATGGTGGGATTTTTTTAGTATTGTTTGTTTGTTTGTTTTTCGTGTGTCCAGGGATACAAATTTGGAAGATTTGTCTTGCAAATTTGTGGAATTACAATTTTGTTGGTATAAGGGTGCAGATTTAAAAGATTCGTCTTGCAAATTTGCCAATCTTGATGATCAATCAAGATTTATAACTTTGTGACTATACATCAATGAATCTTTGTCAAGAACGATGCAAAAATATCTAAAATTGTTAGGAGTAGTTCAGAAGCGATGTCATTAGTATAGGGTTGTTTAGTACTACCTCCATTACAGGTTATGTGCAACGATTTAACATAAAACAGAGAGGAAAAATGTCTAATCGTATCACATAACTTGTAACGGAGGTAGTACTTTTTTTGAGAATTTAGATATTTTTTGGGATGATTGTAAATGTCGAATGACTATTATTATTTGATAAAATAACCCCTCTCTATTCTATTAAAAAAAAGAAAAAGAAAAAACCTTTCACTTTCCATATTTCTATGGTGGGCTAGCCCTTCCTAACACTATAGCCCATAGTCTCACAATGAAAATTTATACAATAATATAACTATTGTAAAATAAAGGGAATAAGAGAAGAATTGAGGAGAGAATAAATCTGTGTATCTTATTCCATATGATAAGGTGTATATATACATACAATATATTAGGGTTTGATTGGATAACCCTAGATCTAGATTGTTCCGGAATGATACAAAGGAGGATAATGGATATCCACAAATATTTCATAACACTCCCCCTTGGATGTCCATTATCGAAGACTATGCCTCATTAAAACCTTACTAAGAAAAACCCTGTGGGATAAAAACATAGTGAACAAAAAAGAGTACATCATTCTTCGTAATACGCTTGAGATGCCGCCTCATTAAAAACCTTACCAGGAAAACTCAATTTGGGACAAAACCATGGTCAAGGGAAAAAGAGTGCAGCGCGTATTTTCTCCCCCTGTTGAATACATAACTGTACTTGAGATCTTCTAGTACCGCAACGATGAATCCAATATGTTTGGATATCTTCTAATATGTAGTAAGTAAAGTATCATCCGTTGATCTTCGACTCTCCAGAGTTGAAGTTGCATCTTCAATTCTTCAGGTATTCACGTGAACATGTGAAGTGTCTTCATTTCACCATACTTGTGTTTATCTCTAAAAATTAAACTTATGCAGTTATGACTTCTTCTAGAAGTCGTTAATAATAGAAATTGATAATTATTATTTGATCAAACATTCATTAATAGACAAAACTTGACATTATTAATGTCGTTCTTCAATCTCATATGAATTATAATATAACATATGCAATTATATACATTAATCATGGTTCTTCTGGACCATAAGAAATAGTCTCACGCATAAGTATCCCGTTTCTTTAGAAGTTTCATAATTAACTACACGATAATTTTTCTACGTATAGAAATAGTAAATCTCACTTACTCTTATATACCCAAACTTCAGGTTGAGATGTCAATGATGTAGTCACATAAAATTTTCAAGAGTTTGATAATTGTAATATTCAAAAATTTGTAGGGCTGATTATTTAAAAACATCGTATATAAGTTCTTCAAGAACTCTTCTTACATGATTCACAACATGTTATTAAATCGACGTTTTCGATATTTTCATCACAAGTATAAGCCCATAGGAACATAAGTATTTCTTTCTAATTTTCCATCAAATTTGTAAATATGTCTTACTATACTTTGAATGAACATTGACATACACCACAATTATTATATAGAAAATAAAGCATGCAATATGATATATAAAAATATGATAAACAACTTATATAATGAGTAATGCATTTACAACTTCGAACATATGCAATGAATAATTCAAAAACCTAAGACTCACACATGCATATGAACATAAATAACACTCGAAATAATGCAAGACACTGTACAGTGTGGATTTTAAAAATCCATATTTCTTTGGACTTCTGGTCCATGATAAACTTTTATTATTATTATCATCATGTCGACATTAAAATGGACATATATTCCAGATCCCTTATTCACTAGTCCATTATATCATGCATATGCATTATTTATCGGTTCCATCATATACCGGTATCATCATATAATTCCTCAAGGTACAATTTTAATTTGCATGCTATTTTGACAATGATATCTGAATACATTTTTCATTGGTACCATCATAATTTTTCTTACATCATAGGCCATCTATAATAATAATTCAGATATCTATACCACTTTTAGGGTATTTCATTCACTTTGGTATTTATATACTATTACACTATTAGTGTTAACTGCACTATCTTGCCAAATATCATATCTATTAAACATATCTTTATTTTGGAACCGATCATATACAACCTACACTTCAGGTGTAGTGATTCAAGTACAATTGGCAAGATTTTATCTCAATGTATACACATAATTAATATGACCAAAATGTATCTTCAACGCTATGCAACATGAGTCATAACTGAATACAAATCAAATCATAAATGTGCAACATATCTTGATAGCATATGGACGAAAGTTGGCTAGAAAATATTTCAAATTACCATTATTTATATAGGGATCATCAGTTTAATTAATTTTTGCCAACTTACTCCAATTCTCCCCCTAAGTTGGTAAAATATCTCATATATAGGGGCATCACAGTTCTTCACCAACTTAGTATACAAATTTACAATAATATTCATTTCATGGGAGGATCATAATCAACAAAATTTATCTCTCAGAATAATTATATTAAAACAATCTTTTATCTCTTCTAGAGAGCAATTTTAAATTATTTCTTCATTAACTATACATTGCATAATACATATGTATTTATTATTAAATCTTTCACAATTTGTTCTCTTCAGGAGATCAATAATTCAACATCAATGGGGAGACATATGTTGTGCAGTTGAATTTCCTTCTTTTCTATTTCTTATGTGCTGACATACAATAGCCCCAATCAAGAGAATTGTTATACAAATATAATTTTTTTTTTTTTTTTTTTTTGTAATTTCACTAGGTGGTGATTTTCGGGATCAGTAGAAACATTGATAGTAACACTAGTTACTTAAAATTTTCACATATAATTTGTACGTGGTGAGCTTTTGGTCACCTAATATTTGTCAACATATAAATTATTCTAGTGAACTTCTGGTCACCAATTATTCAGATTGACCAATATATTATCTCTTGAACTTTTCTTTTTACACAAACTATTAAAAATCACAATCTAAATATAGCTCAATCTCATTGTTATATCTTGCCATTCAATTTATTTCATATATTTAACATGAGAGAGCGTCAGCACATTATTTCTTTCATATCAAATGAAACTTTAGGTTTTCATAACGGGAATTTATTAAACCCCGGATGGCCTAATTATTAATTATCACATCCAATCACTTTTGCTTTAATATTTAAATTATGATCAGTTTTATAATATTGGTGATCACCTTATTAGAGATACTTTATGCATGGCCATGAAAATGATGTGATATAAGTACACCAGTGTGTTTCTTTCTACAATTGGCAAGACAATTAACTAATACTCATACTCCACTGGAGCATTGATTGTAATCTTGATACATGTTAACCTTGTTGGACAACATTTTATACTCTTCTAGAGTACTTTATATAATCATATCACATTATAATGTATTAGAAATGATCTCTTCAGGATATACATAAAATGTGTCACTTAGCTTTCTCAAATTTGTCATTGTCAATCAGTGCTTCTTTCCTGTTCCAAGAGTTCTTATCGTTGTAACCTTTTGCATTACCACACATCAGGTGTGCTAGTTCAATAGCAACTGATCTTGTCCACCTAGGACATCAACTTAATATGTACATTTATAGCTATTATATAAATAATGACATTTATTCATATCCATCTTCAGGATGGTATCATGCTAAATATTTGATTATCATGTGGCCACCTCTATTAAATAAATTATTGATATTTAGGCTAGTGTATGTACCAAACTGACCATTAACATATTTAATTATTCATGTGCAAGGATTACATAAAAACAGTGGAATAAACACTATCTCCCCTACTCCTTGCATATGGGGGTATAAAACTAGTCCAACAATCTTTAAATCCATCTTCTTCTCAAGCCATAAATTCTTTTAGCAATGCATGTATCAAACAAAGCAAAGTTATTATTTTTGTCTATCCCAATTATATTAATCTCTTATAAGTGTGGGCATAATAAATATACTTTTAAATAAGTTGCTCACAAGTAATGTCGTGAATTAATTTCTTGAACTCATAACACTATTTCTTGCTCAAATAGCTAATATATGTAATCGTTTTGGTAATTCTCATGAATTTCCAATGAATTATATCAAAATAACATCATGCAAACATGCTTATATTATTATTATTGTTTCAATCTTGAGATTGCTCATTCACTTCTGGGAATGAGCTAATAGTCTAGTTGGGATCAAGGATCTCCACTTTTAACCCAAAGTTGGAATCAAGGATATCCACTCAAAGACCATATAATAATATATCGATTGTTCAAAGTATTTATTTATGTATTTATTTTCACTTTACATACATTGGTTTTGCTTACGGAGGATAATATAGCCAACAACATACCATAGAAACTATTGTTGGACATTTGTAAGTCATCATGTACATGTATGTTTTCATATTATACTTAAGGAAATAAAATTACTAGTAATACACTCCTTGTCTTATTATCCACTTCAAAGTAAATCATAAGTATCTCATATAGCGGAGTCATG